ATGTTAAAAGGTACAAGATAGCTTGATTAATCACTGTGTAACTGATAATGTACGAATAGGCTAACGGGAAAATAAAGGAATGTAACACAAACGATTCACAATGAAAACTCTCTTTACCTCACCTTTCAGCTGACGCGCCGGACTCCGACAGGAAGGATTTGTTATCAGAGCTTGAAGTGATGAAGACGTTAAAGCCTCATCCGCACGTCATCAAACTGCTTGGATGCGTCACCGAATCTGGTAGGTTATTTTTTATGTAAGCTGTCTTTAGTCACCAATTATGCTGCAAGTAAAGGGTCATTCCTGTTATTTTAATTGTACCTTTTTCAGTCTGAGTCAAGTCTCTTTGTCCGTGAATGACTAAATGAATACATCGTTTTTTACTCAGTTCGTCTTGATCGAGTATGTTCCGTACGGGGATCTCCTGGGTTACCTGAGAAAGAGCCGTGGATTAAACGACACTTATTTCAAAGACCCAGATATCAAACCACAAACAAGTCTGACGTCACAACAGTTGATGAAGTTTTCTTGGCAAGTTGCTGATGGAATGAGTTACCTCTCATCGAGAGCTGTAAGCTAAAAAATTTGACTATTATGTATTCAAAGTCTGGTTTAGACTGTCTCCATTTTACAAAGAAAAATTATACGGACTAACAGTGAAGAACATACTCAGGTCCCCTCACTTTCAGCTACGTCTTGCTTTTGCGTTTTGATAAACCCCCTCGACAATGGCGATTTCATAAAATTTATTTCCGGCTGGACTGATGAGGATTAAAATGTAAAGACGTGAAACTGACAGAGCTCTTGTTTGGACTAATATATCCTATCCATTTGGTGTCAAATCTTAAAAAATAACTTCAAAATTTCATGAAATGTAACAGCATTAGAGTAAGACAGAAAGATCCGAACGCCTCACAACAGGTCTATGTGACTTGCAAGGTTTTAAGCTCGTGTGAAATGAAATCTCACATTGCAGATTATTCATCGAGACCTTGCCGCTCGAAATGTTCTGGTTGGAGAAAATGAAACTTGTAAAGTGACAGACTTTGGAATGGCAAGAGATGTGCAAGAACAAAATATTTATGAAAGGAAGACAAAGGTTTGTATTATATTGGAAACAAACCTACAGTATAGGACTGGCACGCAATAGTAGTGGATAAGGCACCGAATTAACCTTTTCTTTGCGGGGGAATTCCATTAACTTTCAAGGGAAAACATTAACGCCGATGACGTCATGCATCTCATTAACATAGGATGATGTCATACTTTAAATTAATGCCCATGCCGTTAAGATAGGATGATGTCATAGTTTATTTTTAGCTGGCTGACGTCATGCATGTCATATAGATAGGATGATGTCATAGTCTATTTGTAGCTGGCAAGGAGCAAGTGACGTCAGAATTTCCTAGAGTTGACGTCATCAAAAAATGTCGAGATCATAATCTATAAACAGAAAAGTGATTTTTATATAATAAGCTATTTGCTACAGTCTTCTGATTAGATATTGTTTGCTATAGTCTTCTGATTGGATATTGTAGAAACTGTCATGTGTTCAAAATAAAAGCGGGCAAATTTTGAACGTCTTATCTTTGCAGATTATACTAAATTAAAAATCTTTAATCATTAAACTATTTTAACTAAAAATCGGTTATAAATAAAACCAAGACACGGAGGTTAACTGAAAAATCTTTACTTCAAAAGAAGGGAAAAGGATATTAAGCGGCTGCGAAATCGTACTAATTTGTCAGGCAAAACATGAAAACAAGGTCGAAGCTCAGCGAAGCGAAAAACTGCCTATCAAGCAAAAATGTCATTTTTTGTTTACTTGACTCTGTAGAAAGTATTGCACAGGGTATAAAAATTCTATAGAAAACAACAGGTGGTTCTAAAGTAAACCCTAGCTCTTTTGGTTCTTAAAGAAACCACCTTCTTGTTCCTAATGAGTGGAAAGTCTATTTATAAAAATAGGAATAAGAGGTGTGATCGCCTGGCAACACATGCGTTCTTGTTTAGCGCTAAAAATCGGATATATAAACAAAACACACACACACACATACACAGAGTGGAGCTGAAAACTCTCTATTTCAATTTTGACTCACCATTACGAAAGCGTTTTCTCCGTTCTGTCTTGAGGAAACGACTAACTATTGAAATCTCGGCGCCTGATGAGCTTATGGTCGCCGTTAGTCAGTTAATTATGCGGGTTGAATATAAATTAGTTCATCTCTACAGCTAGACCCAACGGAGCACCTTGACTTATTATTGTAAAAGCACAAACAATTAATAACTTAACAAGGATCAATTAAAACATGCGATTAATAAATTGACAAGACACGAGATACAGTTTTAAGAACTTTATTGAAGACCATTGACAAAAAGAGTCAAATAAACAGCGATTTGGAAGGAATGGAAATTATAACTTGAGCCCGGTTTTCAGAACGTCTGTTAAAAGGAAAGTAGGAATAAGAGAAGCGATCACCTAGCAACGCGAGAAACGGCTTCCTATATCTTATTTAGTGCTAAAACTCGGATATATAAACAAAACACATACAGAAAGTGGAGTTGAAAAGTCTTTATTTCAATTTAGTTTGTACGAGGTCTTCTTATTTAGCTCTAAAACTCGGATATATATAACCAAAACACATATACACAAAGGGGAGCTGAAAACTCTCTATTTCAATTTTGTCTGACTATTACAGAACCGTTTTCTCCGTTCTATCTCGAGGAAATGAAAGTCTTGATATTTTCACGCACGGTTAATCAGTTAATTATGCGAGTTCACAAGCCGAAAGTTGAATACAAATTAGCTCTACAGGAAAAACCTCAAGGGAGCAACCTTGACGTATTATTATAAAACAAATAACTTAACAAGGATCAATTAAAACACGCGACTCATAATTGCTAGCAATAAAATCAGACACGAGACACCGTTTAAAACAAAGAGAGTCAAATACACAGTGATTTGAAAGAAATCTATTAAAATAGTCAAAGAAAGCAAGCCATCCTTTTTTTTTTACATTGCGCACAATGTTAATTGTTTGTGCTTTTACATTAATAAGTCAAGGTGCTCCCTTGGGTCTAGCTGTAGAGATGAACTAATTTATATTCAACCCGCATAATTAACTGACTAAGGGCGACCATAAGCTCATCAGGCGCCGAGATTTCAATAGTTAGTCGTTTCCTCGAGATAGAAAGGAGAAAACGCTTTCGTAATGGTGAGTCAAAATTGAAATAGAGAGTTTTCAGCTCCACTCTGTGTATGTGTGTGTGTGTGTTTTGTTTATATATCCGATTTTTAGCGCTAAACAAGAACGCATGTGTTGCCAGGCGATCACACCTCTTCAGTATTCCTATTTTTATAAATAGACTTTCCAATCATTAGGAACAAGAATGGGGTTTATTTAAGAACCAAAAGAGCTAGGGTTTACTTTAGAACCACCTGTTGTTTTCTATAGAATTTTTATACCCTGTGCAATACTTTCTACAGAGTCAAGTAAACAAAAAATGACATTTTTGCTTGATAGGCAGTTTTTCGCTTCGCTGAGCTTCGACCTCGTTTTCATGTTTTGCCTGAAAAATTAGTACGATTTCGGATTCGCTTAATATCCTTTTCCCTTCTTTTGAAGTAAAGATTTTTCGGTTAACCTCCGTGCCTTGGTTTTGTTTATAACCGATTTTTAGTTAAAATAATTTAATGATTAAAGATTTTTAATTTAGTATAATCTGCAAAGATAAGACGTTCAAAATTTGCCCGCTTTTATTTTGAACACATGACAGTTTCTACAATATCCAATCAGAAGACTATAGCAAACAATATCTAATCAGAAGACTGTCGGAAATAGCTAATTATATAAAAATCACTTTTCTGTTTATAGATTATGATCTCAACATTTTTTGATGACGTCAACTCTAGGAAATTCTGACGTCACTTGCTCCTTGCCAGCTACAAATAAACTATGACATCATCCTATCTATATGACATGCATGACGTCAGCCAGCTAAAAATAAACTATGACATCATCCTATCTTAACAGCACATTACAACTTCACGCCGATTTAAGTGTGTACCCCAAATTTTGGGGTTATCAAGTATTCATATATTCAGGCTATTGTTCTTGCCATTGTCGATTACCTTCCGAAGAATCCACGAGCGGAATTCCTTTGATTTAGGTGCGATATGTCTCTTTTGTTTCCAATTTTGTTGCTTGATTGACTTTTTAATCCCCATTGTTACCTGATGAGTATTAAATTTATCCATTAAAATACTCGGACTTGCCTGTTAAATTTGCTGGGGTCTGTGGGAACGCTTACAAGTCTTTTAAGTGTGGCCGACAACTCTGGTTGCATAACATATTTTCGGTCACGTACCGTATTACAAACGAAACAAGCCTGATAAATTTGAAGTTGATGAAAGCTTATAAATACCTGGTCTCCTATGGTATTTTTTTTATTAAATACTCCCTTGCCTTGAAAATAATTTGGCGTTTAAAGAATTGCTGCGGAAGGTATTTATTAGAACGTTTTATTCATTCAGTATTATCAAAACCTGCGCTCTGCAATCAAGAGCGAACAACTCTCTTCAAAATGTAAACAACGCAAGCGGTGAATGCATTTAACGGGATGACACAGATTTATCAGCGTGTAATTTCACTTTTTTGGACGTTTTCGCTTGCCTTTCAGTTTTTTTGTTGAAAAAAACCTTGCGTTTCAGTTACGTGACTGCAGGGCCCGAAATTAATAAACCGCGTATTGTCAGTTCACCGATTTGCATGACAACTTTATTCGCGGAGCTAATCGAATGAGACAGGAACTATCTAAAACTGTAATCGACAGATCAAAACTTGCGGAATTCATAATTCCTCGAAATAATCTCGCAGAAACGCTTGTATAGTTTGATTTCTCTCGGCCGGCCGGATTTTAGTAGGCGATAGGCGAGAAAAAATGCTTCAGCGGCTTGCTTTGTACTTCGAAACTTCGGCAAGAAAAAAAATCCAATCTCGGTCCACAGTGGTCGAAATTTCTCGTTCAAGATCTCTTTTTGAAGCTGTCAAAACTCTCCTTTTTGAAAAATACGTACCCAAGTCGAAGAAGTTTTGCGAAAGACTTAAATCCATAAACTTCTACCGCGATATGTGCGATAATTCTCTGCAGTTTTATTGACACATTTAGAACAAAAGGATACCTTTAAAACTTCGTGGCCCTGGGCAGCTTAATTAAGCCATTGTTCAATTCCTTTGAATTCGCTTCTGAGTCTTCCGCCATAAAATCTCACCTTCTTTGAACCGAGTCAAAACGAGCGCTCTCGAAGGAAAAGTCCGGAGGAATAAACTGAGCCTTCAGGATACAAAATCCAGCGGTTATGCCCATTTCTGAAATACACACTTAAATCGGCGTGAAGTTGTAATGCATGCGTGACGTCATGGGCATTAATTTAAATTATGACATCATCCTATCTTAATGAGATGCATGACGTCATCGGCGTTAATGTATTCCCCCTAAAGTTAATGGGATTCTCCCGCAAAGAAAAGGTTAATTCGGTGCCTTATCTACTACTCGCAATCCTTTCCATTACCTGCGGAGGAAAATACGTAAAGTTTTGTTAATTATGTCGTTGCTTTCTAGGTTTCATGCTTTAAGAGTTGCTCCCAAAACTATAGGCCACGAAGTTAAGGCAGTATGTGTAAAGTTGATAAAACATTTGACAATCCTAAAAAAGCATAAGAGAGACTATTTTGCCCGTCACCAAAACATGGGATTAGATTCCATACTTCAGGTGTATAAGCATAAATTTTTAATTCAGCTGCATATAAAAGAGATCTAGAATTGCTAACTTTATACCTGATAAAAGTCTTAGAGAACGGCTAAGTTGCAGTGAAACTTTGTTGGGTTTTGTTCTTCCACACAAAGACAGGAAGAAAGTGTTAAAAAGAAAGCTGCGTGTAAGTTGCTGCAAAAATAAAACTCAGGCTTCGTTGATTATTTTAAAAATTTTAAGATGGCCTTCTGACCTTTTATTTCGGAGGATATTTATCTACTGACCTTCTTTTTTGCTAAGATGCAGGGAAGCAAGGAGGTACATTACTTTTTCATCATCTTTCACTTCCTCCTGCTTTTTGCCAATACGCTATTGCATGTTCGTCGTCCATTTGTCTTATGGTCATTAACTTTGTTCATATGTAGGGTCGTTTACCAGTGAAGTGGACGGCATATGAAGCCCTGCTTTACGGACGATACACCACCAAGAGCGACGTGTAAGAAAACTTTCTATATATGCATTAATAATTTGGTATTTGCAGAACAGAAGCTCATCATCGCGTCACGTGAGAAGAAGGAAGCATGCAACACGGTTAATGTCACTGGGTTAACCAGCGTTAATGACGCCAAACTATCCCTCTCTCATCTCTAAACTAGAATTGAAAAAAATGTGTATTTCGTGTAAAAAAAACCGCAGAACCTTTTTATTTTTATTTATTTAAAATGTAACTGCAGGTGTGTCTTTTTGTTTTCATAGGTGGAGCTATGGAGTCTTGCTTTACGGGATATTTACAATTGGTAAGGTCCTATAGCTATTAACTTACTGTGGTTTTCGAAGTTTTTGTTAAAACATAGAGAATGTTCCGAAAGAAGAAAAGTGTTACGTTTTAACACACTTTAGAGCTCAAGAATGCATATATTATTAGTATATATTTGTGTTTTCCACGCATATTGCCATCGATAACTTGCTGCCGACGTTAAAACCCCCAGCAGTGCCAAATGTGATAATGGCGAGCAACAAGAGCGCTGACCTCATAAATGTCATAAACAAAAATCGGGAGTTGGCTGCTTTGCATGACGGGACGCTGCTTTCTAAACCCAAGGATTTTGAAAGCCTTTCTTTTAACACATATTCGTGACGTTGAGTCAGATCACTGCTCAAGTAGTTAGTGGTTTATCTCTGTGTTACGCGGTAATCTTTTAGAGGACGGGTAGCTTGCAAACCAAACTGAACGCAGGGTTGTCGGAACAGGAACAAGATTTATTTCAAAAATGAACGTAGTTTCCACGAACTAGAACTCAACAACAGCACTTAACTCGTTAAACTTACACGGCCTCCGCCAATTTCAATTAACTTGATAAACTTCCACGGCCTCCGCCAACTTGAATAAACACTGCTTTCGTCACACTTGACTAAACACGGCCAACGTCAAACTCTCTTCGCTTGTGAAAACTAGTTAAAACTTCGCTCGGACTCGCCTACTTATATACTTTTACAATAAGATTCTAGAACTTTCCAGTCTAATTATAGAAGGATTACAAAATATACCGCTTTAGAAACGCTTACACAAGATCCTAAAATAAACAAACTATAAACTCTCGCGAAGCTTCTAGAAAGTCACGCTAGTCACTCATTACAATTTTTCGTAACACTCTGGAAAATGGTTTATTGGCTATAACTTCGGTAAAGATGATGGCGCTGAATCAAAATTTGGCACACATAGAGCTCATCGCCTTTAACATTTTATAGCATAAATAATCAGTGTTAATCAGTCACGTGATATATGACGTCATCATTTTACGAAAACCGTAAATTATTGACCAGTTGGTGGCCGGTTTAAGAGAAGAAATCGAGCAATACCATCTTTCTTATTCTTATTAAATATTTCTAACACTTCACGTTTGGAATGACCGTCCAGGACACTTCAAGAAAAATGATGAGAAAAACATCATTTTTAATGTCCAAATTTAATCTTCAATTATTAAAAACTTGAATTTTGAACTTTGCACACGTTCATTCCAAAGGTAGAAAGTTAGGCATGTTTATCCTCTTTCAAAGTAAATTCCCAAACAATTCGCCAATTTCCCGCCGATTCCCCACCAAATGGCCAATTTCCATATTTAAACGTTCAGACACAAGAACACCCCAAGATTTACTTTTGGGGAAAAATTGTTTTGTTCTAGGTCTCCTAGCGAGAGATATTGCCAATCATTCATTCGAACACACCTTTGACCCAGGCCTTAAACACCTTGAGTGAAAGATTGACTTGTTGAGAAGCTTTTTCACATTACCTTCTGGTTGAAGTGTTTGACATCCAGTGAGACAAGTGTCTGTCGCTACAGTGCCGAAGTTCGCTGATAATTTAATACTGTCACCTTATCACAGCAAGTATTTACACCATGACTTACATTGACGGCAGCTTTTAGTTCCCATGGTGCCCAAATGAGGCAGATAAAGAGGCGGGTGTGTAAATAAATTGTCCTTACAGCCACTTACAGTTAGTTCCTTCAATTTTGAGTAAAAACAACAACGACAGCAACAAATTTTGGGAGAACTCATGCCTTGTAGTAAAGTATTGTAACAGCTGGTCACTTTCTCCTTTTTAGGGGGTTCTCCATATCCACGAATGGATGGCAGGAAGATTGTAAGCCTACTTCAGGACGGATACAGGATGCCTAAACCACGACATGTTGATGATGAACTGTAAGTAATTCTGTGTCCGCTTCATGGGTTTCGAAACGTTTTATTCCTATACTGAGTACCTCTCCCCATACTATTAATATCTAATAGGATCCTTAAGGATCCTACGAGGTTTTTCACCAGAGATGGTTTTGGGAGTCGAAACGCCAGAATACTGAGGTCACAATTTCCATGTCACAGTTGTAGGTACTAGTCGTGTTCCGGCAAAAGTATCTTCTAGCCCTGACCACTATTAGCTTTTAAGGTCTGGTATTTCTTCGAGAGAAAATTTAGTGATGAACATCAAGCCAAACTCCCGAAAAAGTTGGACTTAAAGTTAACTGCAAACTCTTATTGAAAATGTCAATCAAGATGACGAATATACTTTTCTGAAACTCCTTTTACTCTAATAGGCCACTTCCGAGGTCCAAAAACTCTCGCTTTCAAAACGAGACTAAGTGCAAAGGTTTAACTGGTATGGACCGAAAGAATTGTTGCTCAACATACCATGCATAATTTTTGTGTTGTGACAGGTACAAAATAATGAAACCGTGCTGGCTGGAAGACCCTGATGCAAGACCTTCTTTTTCTGAACTGACAATGAAGCTGAAAAAGATGGAAAACCAACATAAGGTACGCTTTAAACAAGAAACGTCCTGGACAATTTTGAGTCTCCCTCAGTTGTCCTCCTTCAAATTTTTTCACTTTCATTAGCTGCAAACCTAGACTGGTTTATAGGCGGGGTAGCCTTATAGGTTCTGTCTTCAAAACGTTCTCGTTATGCTTCGTTGGCAGTCAACTACGAGCTCTCGCCATGCCTGTTTCTTATAACTAAAGTGAAGAAATAGAATTGTTAACTGCATGGATTGTTTTGTCAGTTACGCGAACAAGCTTGTTAAATTATGGTCTGTTTTTTCTTTTTTATTTGCAGGGGCTAATAAACATGAAATTGTATGATAAACAGCTATATGCAAACCTAGAAGACTTGACAGTGTAAACCAAAAGTATCCATTCACGCGAGTGCCGCAGTCACCAGTTTGTTATGATACTCTGCTATTTTCGGGAGACCAATTACTTAAACGGCATTCCTCATCAAATAAATAACAATTTTTCACTGAAGTGGAGGTGGCTAGTATTGGATATTTACCGAGGCCGCGAAGCGGCGAGGTAAATATCCACTACTAGCCACCGACACTGAGGTGGATAATTGTTTTAGTATATATTAAAACAGTGAGATAATTGAGCACAAAATGATGATTTTTAACTCATTTACTGTTGCCAACGATTACAATTTTGGCGCGCGATGACCGAACGGCCGCGGTCGTCGCTTTTTCTTAGCGACAAATAAAACTTTTTAAGGCGTTTGTTTAGCTCTTGCGGGGAAGTTTCTTCAAAAGGAGTTGGTAATTCTGTTTGTGTTTAAAATAATTGTGTGAAAAAAGATTATTAAATTTAGTTTTAAGCTTATTTATGAACAAGTCAACTAAATAAAGTAACGCAAGACTTAAGCTTAATATGCATTTGTAAACACAAAACTTTTTCACCGGTTTTATCGATAACTATTCAAGTCAAAAAGACAAAGCTTCACCTGCTAAAATGTACAAACCAAACTTCGTCACCTTCTTCATGTATTTCAGAAATAACTTGCTTGATTAGTTGTGAAATTTCTTAGTTTGTTACGGCAGCAAACCGGGAAAGCATTTTGCTCGCAACCTCCGCGAGTTTGGCGTCGCTCGCTCGGAGGAACTGGAGGTGAATCAGTGAATAGTGCAGGATATTCACTGATTGAGTAGCCAATCAGAGCGCGCGAAAAACACTATCCACTGTTTTAGTATATACTAAAGTTAATTAGTATATACACACTCAGTGATCTTGGTGATTTAAGCAATCTGATTGGTTCGCTATCTCGGACTATTCAACAATATTCACCTCCTAGCGAGTGGATAATGTGTGAGCTCGGTGTTTTTCCCCTTTTTTTAGAGAACAATCTTTTAAAAGTCGACAAAATCCTAGCGCTGACTCTTTTAAAGGCAAGAAAAGACTTGGAAGGATTCAGTACGGCGTTTTTCAATTTACTGTAGCTGAGTTTTGTGCTCGATGGATTGTTTACAACTCCCGTGTATTCGCGTAGAAGAAGCCGTTTCGTGAACTCAGCGTTTTCTAAGAAGAAAATTTTGGCTCAAAAATGGAAGTCTATTTATGACAAACAAATTTAAAAGGAAATGTTTGCAGAAATTCTACGTTTCAAGTTAACGGGAAAAAGAATGATACAGGAAGACGACGTCTTACCTCGAGCAACCGAGCCGGCCATTTTTGTCAGCACTTCATGCGAAGAACGACACAACAAGCCCTTTTGGCTATAAACTTGGCGAGTCAACAGAAAAAAACAAAGCTCTACTTTTCTTCTCAGGTAAGGAAACAGTTCAAACTTTTATCGGTTCCATTTAAGCCATTACGCTGTTGTTTGCGAAATGATAAACTTGTGAATTGCCATGTTTGAAAATTCTACAAAGATCTATTTTTAAACTTACGCGTGATTTGATCTGTCAATCAAATTGTACTTTTTAATGGTTTCCTCTCTGATTTTGTTGAGATCACTTCGTGTGTATATACTAAAACAATTATTCTTTTCAATCTCGGTGAATAGTGGCTTTGGGAATATTTACCTCGCCGCTTTCGCGGCTCGGCAAATATTTTGCCACTATTCACCTCGATTTCAAAGAATAATTGTTAATTATTATTCATTTAAAATATTTCTCCGTCCTGATTGGCTAAAATCAAACGTATAATTCACCATAACCAGCTACTGTTGACCAAATTTGAAAGAATTTTACGATTAATCAACCGATGACGTCAAAAGTGCAGCACAGTGGCAGGTTAATGCATCGTTAACCGAGAAAACTTGGGTACGAGGCTGGGTTGTTTTGGTTGTGAAAAGAAAAATGGCCCAACAGTCGGCCGAATATTTTACTCTTTTCACCACGAACTATTGTCTAAGAACATAGCAAGACGACAACTCGACGGACAACGTCTGCTGTTTGGGGTACATTTGCAGACCTGAAGAGCCCATTATCTTCTAAACATGCACTATCGAGGTGAACTTAACAGCGATGAAGGAAAGCATGTTTTAGCTTATTTTAAACTAGGAATTATTTTGAATGAATAATAAAGCAATTGATGAATGAGGCTGAGAATCTTATGAAGAATTATGGAGATCGAGTAGGGTGTTATCACTGCTGAGGCGGATAACACCCTCCGAGATCTCCATAATTTTTCATACGATACGAAAGCCGAATTCAATAATTCTTTTATTATTCATTCAAAATAATTCCTAGTTTAAAACATAGCTAAAACGTGCTTACCTCTATCCATGGTAAGTTCATCTTCGATAGTGCACGTTTAGGGTTGTTCAGCTCGGCAAATATCCTCCAAATAGCAGATGTTGCCCTTCAAGTTGTCATCCTGCTATTATTGCCATGTTTTTAGCTATTATTTCACCTAGTTCTTACTCTTGAAATGAGTCAATTGTCCGCCATTTTTGTTTTCACGACCAAAACAACTCAACCACTAAAAAGACAGCCATACGCACAGATAGAAGTGTACATACTTAATCTAACTAGAGCGTAGAGAAAACTCAGTGGAAAATAATAGGAGAGCATGTTTCCAATAAATTATGGGACTGCTTGGTATAAAGTTAATTCTGATGAGGAAGGAAATGAAAAAAATAGCAGAAAATGTAGCATAACACCTAACAGTTACTGAATAATTTTTAAATGCAATTTAGTGCGAGAACATATTACTATTTTTGATATTTGTTACTATTATTTTCTATAAATTATATTAAGTAAACGTGATTCTCACAATTAGTTATTATTAGCTAGTATAAGTTGTACAGACTATTGTACCCTAATAACTATGATTGTTGTATATCAAAAGTAGGTTGAGTTTGTTCGTCCAGGTGAACGTAGTCCTGAATAGGACTGTTGTTGTTGACAGTGACTGACGTTTCGACAACCTGTGCGGTAGTCATCTTCAGAGTCAAAGTGAGTTGTATCACGTCAGTTGATGGTATTATACTCTGGTTATTGGTCTGATTGGTCAATTTCGTTGCGATTTTGTTGGTCGCCTGTCAGTTAAGCCGTGATGTTATTGGCTATGAAGACTCGTAATCAGTAATTGGTGCGTTTCGATCTGTCTATTGTGACAGTTAAACAGTCGTCTATGTTGTTAGTCAAATTGTCAGTTCTCCAGTCGTTCTCTCGTAGTTAGTTTTGTTTGATCTCGTCGATAACATCACAGCTTAAGTGACAGACGACCAATAACATCGCAACGTAATTGACCCATCAGACCCAGAAGGTTGTCGAAACGTCAGTCACTGTCAACAACAACAGTCGTATTCAGGACCAGGTTCACCCAGACGATCAAACTCAACCTACTTTTGAAATGACTCCTGGGTTCAAACCTTTCACATTATTGTATATGTCAATAAATCCGCCAATAGATATGTTATTTTTTTATTATTTTTACTGAAAGAGTTTATATAGCGCTTTAAGAAAACGTTTCAATTATTCTCCCGAATACAAATATCGGCTAAGGGCGTTTATCTTGAGCCTTGGGATGATCTGGATCAGAATGAATAGTAAAATTATCAAACTGATGAATAAGCGGTATAAAGCTTCAATTAAGGCACAAACCTCTAGAGATCCAGCCGACTGGAGTGTTTAAAAAAGAAAATATCACTAAGGAATTAAGAATGGCTGAGGGGAACTATTGGTTATCCAAGTTAAATGATAGTAGAAGTGGCAGTAAGGAATTCTGGAATGTTGTGAAGCTATTGACTGGTAAATCTGCGAAATCAAAGCAAGTAGGTCCTATTATGTATGAACAAAAAGAAATAGTCGTCGAAGATTCTACAAAAGCTGCCCCTTTAACGTTTTCTTTTCAACAATTGGGAAAGAACTTGCCAAATCTTTCACACCGAGGGACGTTAACATTGATCCTTCTTGTTTTATAGAATTACCCTTCAATAGGTGATTTAGTGTTAAGTGACAGTGCTTTTAAAGATAAATTCAAATTGATCAAGGGAAACAAAGCTCATGGGGCAGACAACCTGTCGGCAGGAGAGATGAAGTTAGCCGCTGAAGAATTTAGCCCGTGTGTTGCAAATCTAAGTAGGCAACGTTATGCAGCGGGATTTATCCCTCGCAATGGAAAATCGGTTTGGATAATGTTCAATGGAAAAGTGGCAGCAAAGACGATTGTTCTAACTACTGGCCAATAACACTCCTTCGTATTCCTAGCAAAACTACGGATTCAGTAATTTGTGATAACATTGTTCCTCACTTGGGAAAGTACTTCACAAGAACCAGCGGGGGTATTAGAAAGGATTGTCCACTGAATCTCTCCTGATACATTTAAGTGAAACCTGGGAATTAAATATCAATAATGGGAAGGTCGTGGGAGTTATCTTCATAGACTTTCGTAAGGCTTTCGATTCCGTAAACCACGAAGTTTTGAGCTATAAACTGCAAGCTTGCGGTTTTTATGGGAACCGTTTGCAGTGGCTAAATAGCTATCTTGAAAACAGTCAACAATTTGTGGATCTAAATAGGGTAAAAATAAAACTCCAGTACTTGTCGTATAGTGTTCCTCAGGGTTCCCATCTGGGTCCATGACTGTTTTCGATTTATGAAAACGATTTTGCTGATACTGTTTCAACTGGTGAACTGCATCTCTTAGCAGATGATACCACTGCTTTTGTGACTGGTGACACGATCGATCAGGTTTCCCAATTACTAAATGTTCTTCTCGCTGATTTCTGTTCGTGGTGTGAATTAAATAGACCGACTATACACCCGTAAGAAATTTGAAGCTATGATTATCTCTAGAAAGAAATTTATTGGTTACTAACCCTTCTAATGTGGTGAAGTCTTTAGGATTACTTACAGACAATAAACTCTCCTGGGAACATCATATCGCTAAATTATCCAAAAATTC